GAGAGGGACTCTTGTTATGGCATCAAAATTTTCCAACGTCACAGGAACTATTGTTGTCGATGAGTTCAACGATTTTCCCAATTCGAATGGAATCTGGATAAGCAAAAATAAGCGAATTTGTGAAATAACATTTTATTAAGTAGACCAACTGTGTGTGGTTAAGGGTGTGGGTTTATAGGGTAAATGTATCATTACTCTTTTTTTAAATGCATCAAACTATCATGGAAGATGTGCTCTTAAGTCTAAACAGAGATTAATCTCTAAACGTGAAAAACCTAACCCATAGACCTTGACTTTCCAAATTATTACATAATATTCATATTATAATTATATTGATTGGGTTCATATTATAATTGATTAATATAATTAAGCTAATTAATTTTGTACCATAAAATATTCTCTTGTACATACCTATAAATAAGCACCTTATATATTCAGTGAAATTAAAAAAAAAAAGTTTCTTTTTTTCATATATTTTTATATTTTTCTTCTCTTTATTTTTTTTATTATGGTATCAGAGCCTTGAGGCTTTTTTTACTATTACTGTTCATCTCCTTTGTGGGTTGTTGCTTTGCTTGTAGGTGGTGCCGATCATCATCATCTTTGCTTTTTTCCTTGGACTTATTTGCAATTGGGTTTTCTTGATCCTGTTCCTTTGTTGCACTAGGAATATGTGTTACTCCCATAGCCAGTGTTGCTCCAGTCTTTTCGCATCCAATTATCGCTGATTTTTCTCTTAATTTCTCATAATTGAACTTTCGATATTGCTGTTGCCTAGATCTGATATTGCCTCTTTCTCCTCTAATGACGTCAACTGCACCAATCTACATATTTAGTATGCAGATCTTTTCATCAAAAACTCACTTTCTTGGACATTTCCATACTCTTTTTTCTAAATTCAAACTAGTCTCCTCATCACCACCTCAAGTTTGAGAGGATATTACAAAATATTTATATTATAATTATGTTGATTATGTTCACATTATAATTGATTGATATAATTAAGTTAATTGATTTTGTACAATATAATATTTTTTTGTACAAATCTATAAATGAGCACCTTATATATTCAGTTAAATTAATAAAAAAAGAGTTTCTTACTTTATATATTTTTATATTTTTCTTTTCTTTATTTTTTCTATCACAAACAAAAAGGAAAAATTCATGTAGAAAAAAAAAAGGGGGGAAAATCTACATTGTGAGTTTATGACTGAGTAGTCATAAACCAAAATTTGATCCTGACAAGCAATGCCTTCTATAGCTTTTTAGGCACTGGTCTTCGAACCAGGGACACTACTTTCTCCATTGATGCTGCGTCACATGGCAGAGTAATTGGTCCGTCCCTCGGAAGTCCGAACTCCTCCTCTGATAACCTAAACAGCTCCTGGAAAATGTTGGTACGCAAATATGCCAAGGGAAAAAGAAACCGTCTCTCGTCCATAGTGTATACTACAAAGTGGCCCTTGCTCGGTGGACGTTCGCCGCGGTCCGTCCCAGGAAGCAAGATTGGCCTCCGCCCAATACAGGGTATCTTCTGCCACTTCCTCACAATGGCAATCAGTTTCTTTGAGCCGATCATGGCGTCAAGAGAAAGTGAGTAATGAGGAGCAAAAATAGGAAAGGTAATATATATAGGGGGTTCTGTCGGGGGTTCAACAAACACCACGTGCTTTAGCAGATTCGGAAGATGGATCTGGTCGTGGAGTTGCTCTGGACTTTGTGGTGCATGTGGCGCGGGGCCTGGGTCATCCACACGGATATCAACACACGGGGGTCGAATAATTGTTCATAAGAAGAACAAGATCAACATCCGGTTTATAACAATTCAATAATTTGATTGGATAAATTTCTAGGCCTAAAGAATTTCTATCCACAACTTGCTAGAAATTCCTACCGCGTTAGCTGCTCCCGAATTTTTCTATACGTTTTATCGTTTCAGTTGACAAATCACAACTTTTAATTATGTTTCTTGCTGAGAAACCTCAAAAGAGCTTTCACCAAAGTCAATAATTTGAATAAATTAGCAGGAAGCATACGAATTAAATGAGAAAA